GTGACGAATGGGGTTGGAATGGCTGAACTTGCACAAGTCCCTTCTTTACCGCGCATCCCACCGGCATGTAGGGTTTATATATTCAGTTCTGGGCAAGAAATACACGAATAGTTGCTCTGTCTAAGGATTTAAAGTTCATACGAGAGTGGGCTCAATCAACCCAATGCCGGGTGAGTGTTAACTAGTTGCAGATAAATGACACAACGGAATGTTCCTAAGGCGATCGTCTCATTCTCAGCCAGGGCCATATGCAGTTGGCGTTCATCCGACACTGTCGGACAGTCAAGTAACCGAGTCAGCTTTCAGACAGAGGGTTCCAGGCACACAGGCAGGGTTACGTCGAACATACTCATGCTCAGGGTTCTGAAGCAGCACATGCATGTCGGCGCTTTTTTCAGCTAGAGCATGCTTTTTCACTGCTTTTTTTAGCAAAAATAAACAAATTTTAAATATAGCAGTAATCTCCACCTAAAAATTAATTAATTAGCTTAGTAGGAATATCTAAATCTACTAGGATTACTTTATTAGCTATCCTAGCTAAGATCTAATACTCTAAGTTGACTAACTCCTCCTCTATTAATAACTCCTATATATACTATAATAAGAGCTATAAGTAGCCTCCTCTTTAAAGTTATAATCTCTTTAGAACTTAAATATTTATATATATAAAAGTTAGCTAGTTACTAATATCTAAATATAATCTATTATAAGTTTAGTTATATATATAATTAAGTATAGAGAAGCTTCTCTTAAATAGTATAAATATAATAATATAGCTAAATACTTACTAAACTAAAAGTATTAGTTCTAACTTTATAATCTCTACTTAGCTTTAAGCTATAAATAACCTTATTACTAAGTTAAAAAATATTAAAATAAGGCTAAAAAGAGGGCTATAATAAGCTTATAAGTTAATAATTTTAATCTACTAAGCACTATATATAGTAGTAATAGTAGTATATTTCTTAAGCTAACTAAAGATCTCCTTCTACTTATTATTACTAAATTTATATATATTATAAAATAAGAAAATAGTAGCAATAAAGTTAATAAAATATAGCTACTTTTAGTAATATATATAATATTTCTCCTAAATAGCTAGCTACTTAATCTACTACTTACTTATAGCTTAGAAGGTTTACTAAATAGTAGTAATAGAGTACTAATAGCTAACTATATAACTTAAGTTAGATTAATTAGCTTCTAAAATCTTAATAGCTTTACTAATAAACTTAAGAAGTATTTAAAAGTAGTTTATTTATATCTAAAAGAACTTATTAATAATAATACTAATAACTACTATAATAAGTATAAAGTTATTATTTTAGTTTATATTAAAGCGTTATTTAAATATATCTTTAAAAGTAATATAAGCTAATAAAGCTACTTTAGATTAGTTAACTAATTAGAGGTATTACTTTATACTACCTTACTATATAAAACTTAATATTAATAGAGATCTCTCCTCACTATAAAGTTAACACTATATCTCTTATAAGTAAGCTAATTAGAGCTTTAAGTTTTAGAAGAAAGTAATAATTATAATAGCTTTATTAATAGTAGAGTAAAACTTTAGTAAATAATAGATATTACTAATAAAAAAGTTAAGTTTATAAGAATTATAGAGGGTAGGTAAGTAGTAAGTAAAGCTTTCTTACTTTAAGAAGTAAATATAGAAAAGTTTTATAGTTAAATTAATATTTATAATTATCCTATTAATATATTAGAGGTTAGTAATACTATTAATAATAGTAATTTCTTTAAAAATAAATAAAAACTTAATAACTAAAGTAGTAGTATTATAAGAGTAATCTTTTATAGCCTAAATATACTAATAAAAAGCAAAGCTATTAGGTATAATAACTAAGATATTAATAATATAGCGCTTAGTAGTATTATTAGAGATATTAAAAGTAATATTAATATAAGGTAAGTTATTAATAATAGCTTTAACTTTAGCATATAATTTGCTATAAATCTTAAATAAGTAGACCTAATAAAAAGTATATAACTTAGAAAGCTACTAATTACGCTTAATTAAGTAAAAAAGATTAAAGGTCTAATAGTCTTTATATATAATTAAGTAACACCTATTAGTAAATATAATAAGAGCTACTTTATAGTTAACCTCCTTAATAAAGCTTAAGAACCCCTCTAAAGTTATTATAGTAACTATAATATAGAAAGGTAGCACTAAACGCACCTAAGTATATAGGTATTAAGAGCACTTAAAGAGATATTCTCTCTAATATGTTATACTAATAATAATAACCTAATTATAGTGAATATACTACTCTTTAGTATATTTAGTATTAGGGAATCTAAGGTTAATATAATTATAAAAGTACTACTTAATATAGTATATTTTAATTATAGGGGGTATTATTACGCGCAGTAGCAATAATTTTAGTATTAGTAGTATATAGAGGGAAAAAAACGCTAAAAAAGCATACTAACTAGGAATTCAGGGGTCGAAAACGCCAAACGCTAGCCTAATCAGATAAAGCAGCCCAGATTAATACGTTATTCCAGGGGTAGAGTTAAATTCAGCTGCTTTTATTAGCCAAAGCAAAAAGCATGCTTTTTTTAAAAAAAGCTGATTTTTAGGAACACTGCTCGTGCTACGTCGGCTTGTCCCAAAAGATGGGACGATCCTGTCTTTGTGGCCTTTTTATAGGGCTGAGGCGCAGGACTTGTAGTGCGTGAAGGGAGCAAGGGTTGGTCGTTTTTGCCATGAGACTGCTTTAAATTACTCTGTTCCGGGCTATCCGTGTTGAATAGTTACACATGTCATGGAGGATGGACATTGAGTCAAGAACATAGCACTGACCAACGTCCCCACCAAGGTTCGTCCCCGGCAAGGCGGCCATTGGCACAACATTAATCAACCTTGAAAGGGCCTATGGAGCAAAACCGATCAACTGAGGGAAGCTCGGTCCAGCCAATATATACGCGAAATTGGTAAATGGAGAGTCTCGGTCTCGGAGTCTAACAAAAAGTGCGACCAAAGACTCAAGAGCAGTCTCAACCTCATTACACTTTATGAGAGTAGTCTGTTCATGTGCCCAGAGCACGTGGCAGAGGAACACGATCTCGAGCTTCTTATTATTTGCCTACTAAATGGAGGGTTGGCAGGTCCGAATACTAACCTTGTCTTAAATAATGGATGCAGGTACATTTATGGCGAGTTCAACATTAGGTACGCAACTGACCTGCTCACAATCTTACGCAAAGCCAATTCAGGATCTGTTTTCTACAGGTACTCTGATTACAAGACAAGCAAATAGCGGGGAGACGAAACATCACACCGGTTTCAAGCGAATCGGCTCTCAACCAACGTAATAATCTTTCTGATATTGTAGGCAAAGATGGGAGAATTGCCCACCGATGGAGAACTTTTGCCGCTTGAGAAAATCTCCCATGCAAAGCAACATAGAAGTTGGCCGTGCACGTTTCCCATTGGGATATTTTTGTCGTCAACGCCGGCGTCGCTCAGTCCGTTTCCCAGGCAGGGAACACGTTGCTGTTCCCCAACTTCCCATCGGGGACCGCGCACTGCGCTCAACGTCTGACAGGACTACCCTTTGTCACTTAATAAGGAGAAAGAACGGTTTCCCGAATCCCACGGGCTTGCCGGTACCACTTGGTGGCATAAACACCAACATGCTGACTCGTGAATGTCGTGAATGTGGATCTCCCGTCCGGGTCCATCTATCGAAGATCATCACCATCTCGCCATTGAACGGCAGCCTCGGGATCTCAATACTCTAAATGGTTTTGGTCAACTATTCGTCTATCATATCAATAGACTGCACGTGTGGTGGACTGTTTTGCTGAAGCGCGTCGAAATTCTGCCCGGCAATTTCGTGGCATTACTGCGAATAGAACTACGCGCGGTATGTGGATGATGATTGACGTGGAGAAAGACGTCGACGCGTCCCGAAGACCACTAGATCGTGATGTCTCTCATGGCGACGATGGCGACGAGAGGAAATGTTTTGACCGCGAGTGACCCATATCTCGGCAGCCCATCCCGCGCTACACAACACCATCAAAGCTAGATATATAGTGCCATAAAGCACCATTTCCCAAATTGTGGGAACATCAATAACTCGAATCTTATAAGAGGGTCTTCCGTTTCTGATCCCGTTTTCTTTATCTTCAGCCCCAATCACTCATCAACGGCGTCAGAAAACAACTTCACTGACATCCAATATCAACATTAATCGTCACGATGCAAATCAACGCTGCCGCCTTTTTTGCCCTTTTGCTGGCTGCGCCGCCGGTCCTTGCCCGCACCTGCCCTGCCAGCGCGATTCAATGCTACTGTACGTTAACCTCCCGGCTGACATCCGAAGTCTCTGCTAACTTTCGAAAGATCCTAATGGGCGCTGTGCAAAGTGGTGCCCGCAATTAGGCTGTGGATGCGCCGACAACAAGAACAGCCTGGGTGGTGGTCTCGTGCGCTCGAAGTGCATTACCGAGTTCCAGTGGTTGGGACGTCACAAGTGCTGATTCGAAAGCTTCACTACGAACAGGCGACTGGGTGTTACAGACATGCAGTGAGATGTCCACGAAGACATACGTCGCATTATTGCACAGTAATCATGTTGTCAGAGCAATATAACGGCATGGCAAGGAATGGGGTTCGGATTTCAAAGGAATAATTCAGTCATCACTTGGGGCACTTAGACTTAGACATTGCGCACATCAGCGAGCATCTTAGGGTTAATGTTTATGTTAAGGATTTATTTCAATAAAAGTTTAATAGCTCAGTTGATTGCCTCAGTTCGATGTGCGTATCACCAGGACCTCAGCTGGACGCTCTGGATGAGTGCCAAACAGATGTGCAGGCAGAGGGAGCACTGAGGTTATCGGGATGATGCATTCAGGCGACTTCAATCAGTCCATTTGTATTGAGTATTTACTTCAAACCACAAGCAGACTAATGCGAACAAACTCCCCTTAAGAACGAGAATTCACACCAAATGCCTGGCCCCTCAAGTCGACTTTGAGGACAAGGTAACGGTAACCTTATCTTCGACTAGAGGAACTCTCCATCCGCCGCGGGCCGTCTCGACCTGATCACCAGTGACTTCCCAAGGCGATTGCATTGACTCCGTCCACACAGTTGCATTCCTGGCCTTCGGGACGCCCGCAAGCTGCGACAAGGTCATGGAGATGATCCTGGCTTCGACGTCATAAGAAAATTGCTCAATGACGCCCACATCCACAGTGATCATGACTGCCAGAGGACCGATGAATATCCTCTTTCTGACAGGATCACGCGGAACAACCGTCACCTTATTGCCATCGGTGGAAATTTCCCCGCCGTAGGCCACAAGGCCGATTTGCTCATCCTCAGCTACGTATGTTCCCGTGTTCAAGACCATGCCGAGAAAGCCCGGGCCGTAGTCGCCGGTAAAGCCATCCCACTTCAAGGTCTCGGGGAACGAATGAAACCCAGCGCTCGGGCAACCGGCCTCGTTGATGTTCGAAAGTGGTGCAAAGCTTCCCCCGTGACCGGTACGCAGGAGATAAGAGTCGGAGGGATCATCGCGGAAAGCCGAGAGTAGGACTTGGGAGTTCAGAGCGGATCCGTAGTGGTGAATCTGGCGCTCAAGTCGTCGTAGCTTTCCAGCGAGACTGGCGTATATTCGTTAGAATGTCTCGTTTCTTAAACGTTCAAATGGACCGATGTGAGGTTGGCATTACTTACTCAAAGTCCCAGTATCGATGCGAATTGCCGTTCCAGCCCCAGTGCGGCACATTAGGCGTGAAACCAAGTACGGTATCAACTGCTCGTTTAGCCAAGTCCGTGAAGCCGAAGTGCCTGAGAAACAACGGTGAGTCGGTGGGATTCCTCGGGGATTATCATCGCACTCACCTAGCCCAATAGTAGACGCCTTCCTGCCCAGTAGAGTCCCATGCCATCTCACTCCCAAAAGGGGCATCGATGGAATTCCAGTGTTCGGCGCGAGACTTCATAAGTGTCGCAAGAGTGGCGGCCTCATTTTCGAACCCTTCACGCACGAGATCAGTCATGATCATACCCCAAACAGTTTCGCCCATAAGTCCCATCTCCACCCAAGCAACACCACCACCCGAGATGCGGAGAGCCGTTCGGTAGGCCTTGTCAAGATACCAGCTCCAGTCCTGACTGACAAGCTCTGGGTAGGCTCTGCCGACTCTATAGAGAGACCAGTATGCTGCAGAGGGATGGACGTAGTTGTAGCCTCTGTCGGTGGCAAGCGCCCGGTCTTTGTTCCAAGACATCCAAGAGCTCCAGTCAAAGTTCTCGTACACAAATCCGGGCACCTCAGCTGGCTCGTAGAAGAAGAGGGAGTTCCGTACGGCGTAATCTTCTTGTTGGATGTTACCCCAAACCACCTTGTTCACAAAGGTGTCGAGTTTTGCAACTTCGTCCGCATCGGGATGCACAGCTTGCTTGACGACAGCCGCAATATAAGCTCCAGCTCCACCCTCGTCACTCAGTCCGGCTACCCAGGTCCTAAGATCTTGCGTCACTACCGAATCGCTCTCGCAATCGTAGGTCATGACAGACGGTGCACGACCAAAAGGATCGGACTCATTCGTAAAGTATGCTTCCGTCGTGAGAAAATGGCCCATGTCCTGAAGAGCTTCGGTGGCAGGTTTGGTGATATAATAGTGAATTGTCTGAATCTTCCCATCGTCATACGTAATAGTGAGCCTCGCTCTTCCGAAAGCGTGATCTGTAGGTGTGACCGAATAAGCAGAATCGCCGGTCTGGTCCACGGAGAGCGATCCCTGGGGGTCAATGGTGATGTTAGTCACGGGAGCATTGGACTGCAGGAACAGCTTCCCCGGCAGATCTCGTGGAAGAATATAGCCTGGGATGCTGAGCGCGGTCGGCTGGCCAACTTTTCGGACCGCCTTGTCATATCCTCGGACGCCCTCAGGGGCGATTGTGAATCTCACTCCAAATTGAAGGTTTGATCCAGGCTCCAGTTTCCGGGAAGAAGGAGGATTCCAAGCGTGTGCCCCCTGGACGGCCCATTCGTTCTCCGCCCATGCCTTTGTCAGCACTTGCCATTCGTAGAAACCCTCGAACGTCTGGCTTGAATAGGAAGATCCTTCGTAGCCCAATTCCCATAGGTTTCGGTAGGCTTCCAGGGGTGATTTGGTTCCTTGGAGGGCCGTGACAACGAGTGCGGGTCCTGTGCCTTTGATAGGGGTAACACGAATCTGACCAGCGTCCATGCCGATATACGGTTCGGAAAGAGAACAGGCCGCTGTTGCGTCTGCCGGGTGGTGGTGTGTAAAAATGCTGTTGAACTCAGCGGGAAAGCCAAGACTACCGATCTCAATGCTGGAGTTCCCAGTGTTGCTGAAGATGAAGCGCAGGGCGAGATCGCCGTCGACATTTAGCCATTCTCGAGTCACATTGAGCGGCCCGGAGGGAAGCGTAGAGGAAAGGTCTGCGGCCGCAAGAACCCCATCATTTGGGGATAGAGTAACGACAGGCTTGCGGGTCTGGGCAGAATTTCCGTCGATCCAGCTGTTGTCGCCTTCAGTTCGATATCTGTAGGTAACATCTCCCCAGTGGTATTGTCCGTTACGAGAACGGTTTCCTAAGATGTCGAAAGGGAGGAAGTCGAAATCATCCCCATTGGGTTTCAGAGACGCTAAGATTTGAGCGTCTCGCACAATTCGAGCCTTGAAGTTGGATGTCTCGATATCCACGAAACCATTGTTGGTGCCGAGGTCATCCTGTCCAAGAATGGTACCGATGAAAGTGCTTAGCGGAAGCCATAAGGATAGGTGCAAAATTGGAATCCTCATGGTTGCGGTAACGATGATTGGGATTGGCTCGAAGGTGAACGCTTGTCGTTGTGCAAAGAGTGTTTAAGATTGGGTCTGTCAAGAGGGAACAGGGTCAACTTATATTCGTGTGACCACACGGAACTCCCATAATGATTAACATAGACTGGGCTACCGAGAGATGTGGTCGCTTAAAGCAACAGATGGTTGGCGCGGATGCACCGTTCATGAGTATTTGCATAATTGCCGAGTTCGTGGTTCATCGCCATTAAGAAACTGTGGCAGCTCGCCGTCAATACGGCTCGAACAACTGGCGAATGAATGTTAACCATTTCGTTTCGGTACAATTGATGGCATATCTCGAGACGCATGTAGTTTAGGTGTCGCAATCAAAGCGTCACTCAATGTGTAAATCTTTGATAGTGCCTGCATACGGTTGTGAACCGCATGGTGCCTATTGGAACGCTTCTGGGTGTGGCCAATTTCAAAAGGAATTGTGGTACGATTTTCGATTTAGGATATGATCGCAACACTTGAACTAGAAACTTACTTCGCAAAGACAGAACCGCTGACTGCTTATTGGACCTTCTCGGCTGTCTATGCCTAGGACATTGTCGTCTATGTCGCCTCGGCAAGGTTCATGTGGGAAAATGAAAGACGCTAGAAATCGAACACCCAGAGACCCGCTAGGAGGTAGAATGTCCTGTTGCTCATCGTCAACCAATTGAAAGCTGTGTCGACGCGTACAGAACGGCCATCTACCTGAGTTGGGATAGAAACAGTCCAGTCTCAAATTGGCTCTCTCTGATTGAAGTTTTGGAGTCATTTCCGTTCTTATTTGGGCAGATGCTTCTAGCTAACCGGGCGATATATTGCATATCTACTCATGTTTATTAAAACTCCATTCCGTTACCTCATTCGTCCTTGTCATTCCGGCTGTCGTCTGTCGTTCTTGTCGTGACATCCGGATCCGCACCTATCCTCCACAATGGATAACTTCATTAGCGTCATAGTCAATAAGTAATCTGACATTCTTTCACACGATACGACATTTCATTTGATATATGTATTGAAAAAGCTTCTTCGCACTTGTTGATTTCAGGAGGTCAATTAGATATGGAACACGACACGTGCTCAGAACCATCGCGCAAGATGCCAAAAAGCTTGAAAGCATCGCGTGGGAAAGTGACGACCTTCAAGCCGATGCAATGACCCGAAGTCGTGTTTTCCGTCAATGGCGCGGGGTCTATGATCCGTTGTCAGCACTAATGCACCATTTATGCCGTTGGTTATGATTTGATAAGTACGCAGAGTTCTCCTTTTCCCTGTAGTATTGAGGGGTTAGCATGGATCTCGTTCCTCGCCTGTTGGTGCATACTCAGGCTCCTCAGGTCAGCCCATTATCGGGCGTTAATTGCAACGTGTTTTCTCTATGATATTTCCGGAAGACCCGTGGTCGTTTGGTTCGGTATTAAATACCCAAGCACAGCCGCATTTCCGGCTTTCTGCCAAAGCATTCTCACATTCTCTGCTAGGTCAATGACAATAGACTTCACGTCTCATTGATACGCTACAACTTCTGATTGCCATTTGCGATAGAAGCGCTGTCACATCAGGCATGACGGCGGAACTCATCAACTTGGCCGACGGATTATCCTGTTACACTAGTGGGGAGACGGAAGCCCGCTTCATCTATAACGAGATTTGGGAAGAACATTGCTACGATGGGCCGGAGTTGTCCGAGAATCCCGTCATCGTAGACGCCGGTGCCAACATCGGGCTCTTCTCCATCTACATGAAGAAGAAATACCCTACCGCAAAGATCATCGCCTTCGAGCCAGCGCCCGAATCCTTCGCAACCTTACACCGCAATTTTGAGCTGAATGCCATCTCAGGAGTTGAGGCTCATCAGTGCGGTCTCGGCCCGACAGCCAGCGCAGAGAAGTTGACGTTCTATCCCACCTTTCCCGGTAACTCGACTCTCAGGCCTGAAACAAAGAAATCGACTTACGAAGCTATTGCTGAGAGATTTGGACAGGAGTTTGTGGACACAAACTTCGGAAACCCGCATTTTGTAGACATCAAAATTGAAAGGCTCTCTCGGTTCTTGGACGGGGTTGAGAGGATTGACTTGTTGAAGGTGGAAGTTGAGGGTTCTGAACTCGGGGTATTACAGGGTGTGGATGACGAGCACTGGAAATTGATACGGAATGTTGTGCTAGAGACCACGGAGAGTTCTGGAGATAGACAGAAGATCGAAGATTTGTTACGGCAAAAGGGGTTCAAGGTTGTCCGAGAAGGAGTTGCGTTTGACTCAAACATGGAATTCTTTGTCATCTGGGCTCATCGACAGGACGGAGTTGGTGAAAAGACACAGGGCTGAACGTCTCAGGCCACGTGGGAGAGTGATTTGGTTGAGCTTCAGGAATGTTGAATGTAATTTGCAGCGAAGGCTTCCGTTCAGACTCTTCTGTTGTAGGTTTGGCATGTTTCAATTAGCTAAATGGGGACCTAGAAACCCGAGGGCACGATGCGTCTAAAACATGATCGATCTCTTCATGCAACGGGGCAGGGACTTCTAGTGAACAATCTCACTCGGGTTGTTGTTTACTCTCCGTGATCTTCATCGTCCCAGGGGATCTTGACGCTTTGTTGCAATTTCGAGTCAAAATGGCCAATCAGAAGGAATCTATGAGTGACATTTCTTGAGATCCCACCGGAGATTCTGTAGGTCATCTGCCAAATTCGGACGGTGAACCATCTTCACGCAGACTTTGGTCCAGATTCGTCATTCGACCAGCTTGAAACTTAATCCCTCAGTCGCAGCCTTATCCCATTGCATGTAGGTGGACTGCAGGATAAGAGATCTGCACACAATTTTCCGCTTTTTTCCCGAATTCTCTCAACTACATGAATCAAAAAGGGCTACAAAAGCGTCGATCTTTGTTGATTGACTGGAGCCCCCGCGCGTCACACCTTGAGTTTGAAGTCCGACCGCGCTCGATAGGGATAACATCTCGTCACACTTCTTCGTATCAATCGTCGTCGTAGTCCACCAGTGTGATCAGCTCTGCGTCGGCAATCCCATTTGGAGAGGGGTCGGCATTGGGAGCGTGACTCAACACATGCGTTGTCCAATGAGGTCAACCTCGAGAAGCGATCTGTGCGAGAGTGAATCCGTCGACCGCGATGCAGAGGGCGGTTGAACTTCAACCCTTTGGTGTAAGGCATTGGTCCTCGATGGCTCAGGGGCAAGGACCGTCAAGTACCCTAGGTGTTTTAACTTTTGGACTCCATGGCATTACCCGACGGGTTCTAGACCAAGTCAGATACCCAGTTTCCACCAACCCTTCAATAACCAGACGGGCCACGCGAGCGATGTGGAAACGCACCTAGTTCACATTGAGGCTAATGCAGCATTCGTCCCAGAAACCGACACTAGCGATGACGATTCCGAACGCATCGGGTGCCGCGTTCCCACCTGGTGTCTGGCTTGCCAAAAGGCATGAATTCTGATGATTTTCTTGATTCAGAACGTAATTGCTGTCCTTCTCGTTTGGGAATCCCGCTGTCGTTGTTTCGGGGTTATGCCGGATGGAGAAGGAGAAAATCCGGTTAGACAGTCCGTCAATTTGGGATGGTTTAATTGACACCGATCAGCCTTAAAGCTTGTGTAATATTAGCACCACTTGACGTCTGCAGTCCAGTTTTCATTTGCTCCATTGCGTTCGTGTATTGCGATGTCTCGGCATGAGAAAGGAGATCGAAGTCTTCGAAGATCGACGAGGCGGATACCGATGTCAAATACCCAGTCTTTTCAGAATCAGATAATCGGATTGCTCTGCGGAGCAACGATCAGGCTGCGCGGCGGCTTCGGATATATCGCAGATGAAGAGTCTGTGTATTCCCATGCCGATCTCCATGGGCCCGTGTGGTTCTCCTCCAGCATCGGGGGACGGTTGAACTAGCTGTTTCCACCCCAAGTCCCGAGACAGTCTAAGATGGGCGGGAAACTTAGCGTGTACTAAGAGAAATCAACGTACGAGTCTTCCTCGAGGATGTGCGAATGAATTGTGGACTTGCCCCCAAAATCTTGACTGGGTATGCAAAATGGATGGGTGTGGCGGAAAGCGGGCAGGCGAAAGCTCCTCAACTCGCGTGGCCCCCCACAATCCCGCTGCCATGAAGATCGAAGCGATTGTGACCTTGATTTGCGGTGACACAATTCTCCAGGGCTGACGATGGTTCAAGGCACGGTTCCATTGCAGAATTGGTGCGATTGAACGTTCGGGCAAAGCCCCCATTTCGAAGATCTGAGGCAATTAAATGGAGGTTGCTGAATGTTTGGAAAGGTTACAATTGGTGGGCAGACTGCTGATGCAGCATGACTCGGGTTTTGGGAGGCAAATGCGGCAATGAAGATTGTGAATTCCAGTCAGGCTGGTGACGTGCGGGGGGCTAAGACTGAGTCGCTCGAGGGACTTCAAACCTGACAAGAAGCCAAGCCAACAATGCCCAGAGAAACTTCAGTCCACTTCAACCAAGAGAAACATGATCAGCTTGCGTCAGCATGCCTCTTTCAATGTTTCGTTGCGTTGCAGATCAAGGACCAAAGTTGCTGATTTCGTGGTGTGGTGTCGAGGGCTTTGCGATATAAGCAACTCATGATCGAATATCCATCACATACGACCATACCCACCGGAGAACTCGGGATCCCGTCCGCTCTCCCATAGATAAGCCGGTGAGGGACAGAGTAGTAGTCGGGTCGGTGACGACCGGCGAATGCCTGTTGTTGTATGTTTTTGATCTTTTTGATGGCTTCGATTTTCGACGATGTTTTGGATGGCAGGCCAGGCAGGGTGGATGATAGCCCGCCCACCTTCGTGTGTCATGGGAAGCGCACCAACTCCGATTGCAACCGTTGCAACCAGGAGTTGAAGAACATGCCCAACCGAACTTCGGAAGATCGGCGTGGGATTGGTTAAACGTGGTGTCACTTGTCAGTGCTGGTCCCATTGAGAGTGGGGGGGACCCTTGACAAAAGACGAACGTGAGGATACGGGGTGATGGAACCGCTTTTCGTACTTCGCAAATTGGTTTGCCCAACGGATATCCAGAGCCCAAATGAGGAAAGATTTCCGTATGACCCGCAATATAGTCTATATTGCACGGCTCGTCAGATCCGTTTAAAGCGAATCCTTTGCAAGCATGTTACCTGTGCCGGCCCCTTGTTTCACTAAAGTGTTGCCCCAGTCTTCACCTGCCTCCTTAAGACAAGCTTGTTTCCTCCACTCTCGTTGGTCTGCAGAGTGCGAGAGTCTTTGCTCAAAAACTCTATGGGTTCGCCTCTGGGTCCGTTGAGCGGCAACCGTCTTGTCTCTTCATGACAAGATGGCCGAGCCTCTATCATCCTCCGCTGCGGCTGGGCCGTCGGCGTCACCACCGCCGAACGGCGGGCCTCCCGTTCAGGAAGACTTCATCTACAGCGCAAGCCAAGCACGCGCAACCGTCGCATTTGGCGCGATTGTGACAATCATCACCACGGTATCCGTCATCGCCCGACTTTACACACACAAATTCGTTATTCGAAGGGTTCGGGTAGACGACGCTTGGGCATTGCTTGCATTGGTACGATGACTATTGATCTCTCGATTGGTCGCACCAGGTTTATTGACAAGATTTCAGCTGTGTGTCATTGCCGTCAACGTCATGCAAAGTGTCTTCACGATGCGTTATCTGCCTGAGATGACATCCATGATTTCGAATAATGCAGGCTCCAGGGTATGGATTATCTCTCCATGACCGAGCCATGGCCTAACCTAATCAATAGATCCCATACGCAACCGCAATTACTTACAACTTAGCCATGGCCTCGCTCAAGATGACGTTCTTGTTCCAATTCTATCAGATCTTCAGGAACGTTCGTGTTATGAGAATCGTCTACATGGTGGCGATCTTCGTTGTTGGAGCTTGGAGCATCACACAGATCCTCCTGGCAGTGTTGGTCTGTGTTCCGATCCAAGCCAACTGGAGTCTGGACGTCAAAGGAGTCGTGTGTCTACCGACGTTCGTATCGACATATATCAACGCTACAGGAACTATGGTGACGGATGTCATCGTGCTTTTTCTGCCCTTTCCGACTCTCTGGAGTTTAAAACTTCGCGGACGCCAGATCTGGGCTGTGTTCGGCGTCTTCGGGATTGGCGCTATGTAAGTTTCATACAATTTCCACCTCTTCTGCCTTGCCACGACTGACATATGGCTAGCGTTCCCATTATTTCTGCCGGCCGTATCTGGAGTCTGGGACACGCGCCCCCGAAAGGCTACATGAGCACATCGTGCTGGACAATCGCAGAGATTGGCATCGGCGTCACCACGGCATCTCTCGCAACGATCCGTCATCTCCGAGACCGCCGAGTAAACTCCTTGTTGTCGAGAAGTCTGCCCACGAATCGACGAGATTCTTTTACGGAAGGAGTCATGTCACAGGACCCCGCACAACAGTTCTCCCATCAACGATCCGGAAGCGAGGTGGATTTGATAGGGGTCAATCGGACGGGAACGAGCGGCTCTCTGGACAGCAATTTCAAACTATTTGGCAAGAAGAAGGGGCTGCCGCCGTCGGCTTTGGGTGCTCAGGACGACCAGACGGACTTGACGCTGAACAATAAGGGCTCGACAAAAGTCAACATTACGTCGTTTCGGAGAAAGAAGGAGATGCCGATGTCCGAAGGTGCTGCAAATTTCCTCGGAGAGTTTGGAATTGTGGTTGAGAGGACGTGGGAAGTTCAGGAAATCCGTATGGAATAGCGGTGCTATGTGCGGTCAGATATTGAAGTAAAAGCTAATGAGAGTAATGAAACCTATCAAAAAACACTGAGGGAGAAAATACGGAGTACACAAGCCATCATTCTTAGACCGCATCTTCCAGCTCTCTCGCAACGCGTTCATCGCTGGGAGCCCACACAAGGGACGGCAGCGTATCGACATTTAAAATCAGACCCTCGTCTTCAAATGCTCCCCTCACTTCAGTAGTCCCTGGTGTGCTGGTGAACAGAAGCTTAACGGCTGCTGGTAACCTTTCATTGACCAGTCCTAGTAGACCAAGCAAAGCATCGAAAGCATGCATCTGCTCTCGTTCGTAAAGCACAACGTTGTCTATAAGAAGAACGAGGGTGATGGTGTCTGGAATCTGAAGAACCAGGAAGTACAGTAAGCGCAACAACTCTTTGTCGTCGCCAGACTGCAAGTGGTTGAGATCAACTGCTCCAGTTGTTGTTATCGAACTCAAGTCAAATTCATGTCGACGCAGAAGCTGGTCAATAAGGCTGCAGAGCATGGAGCTACCCCCCACTGAGCTCTCATCCGGATCAAGATGAAGACCACAAAGCCAGATGAGAGGCATGAAGCGTGGATGACCACGTAACATTTGCGACATGGATGTACAGAACAGAGACAGGGGCGATAGATCAGCGATGGTTCTCGGGAGTCGCCCATCCCAATGTACCAGAAGCTTGGCTGAGTGCGGTGAGGCTATCCAATCCTGGAACAATCGGTTGCCGACAATTTGCTGTGCATGAGTGCGCTCCCGAGATGGGAAATCCGACGCCTTGCTCAACGCGAAAGATTCATCAATGTCGGCATTGTGGCCTCGTATCGTTTCTTGGAGAATTTCCTTGGTGACAACCCATGCTAATGCTGGTTGATTCTGTGGCCGCGGAGGCGTGTATGGCCCCCAGGTGTGCTGCAGCCCTGGTGAGGTACTTCGCAGAAAGGTGTTTTCCACACGCAGAGAAGCCACTTCTACAGCAAGACCTGGTTTCACATTGTCAGAAAACTCGCGCTCCTAATTATCTCGGATCTAACTCACGTCTACCTCTTTCTCTTTCCTCCTCAAGCTCTCCTAGATAGTGCATCGTGTTAGATGAGTTCCACTTGATATGCAAAACAAAGTAATTGACTCATCTCAATTTTGACGACCAAACAAGCGTTCACATACTGTCTCTCTTCTGCGTATGGCCATCAAGAAGAACCATGACATTTGTATACATTGATGCCATCTTTGTTTGCACTTCGAAGTTTGCTTTCTGGATGTCATAGCGGACCTTCTGTGCTAATCTCATCGTCTCTTGGGAATCTTTGAGCTGTTAGCCTCATATATTCTCATGGACCACCAAGTTGTTGAGAAGGAAAACTCAGGCCAATAAGAAACACAGGACTGCCAAAAATCGATGGCGATGGTATGAGGTAGAATGGGCCATAAGCACCAGAGGAGCGAGAGGGACTTTTCCTTTGCCCTAAGAGCAAAACCTAGTTCCCAATCTTTTTCCGAACGCAATATTGGAAAGAGATTCTTACAGAGTCGCGTCTCAAATTGGTAAGACTTCGTAGCTTCGGCTACGATCTTTTCCGCTTTGTGGTTGATGGTTTGCAGACTTTGTACCAGGTCTGATCCGTAGTAGCTTCCTTGACCCAAGGTCTTGCCGAATCGCACAACTATTCATGACAGAATATGGGGTCAGTAAGTCGAACATTGACATTCAAGACATTGTTCAGCTTCTTAATTGAGGTAACTTGCTTGATTTGCTGAGGAAAAACCCAATTAATCGCTCGATAGCTTCCAATGTCGAAATTGCGAGGCTCAAAGAAGCTTTCTGTATGTTCCTGTCGCCCGGATAGACCGCCAGAAGCAATTCAACATCCGAGAATATGGGAATGAGGCCATCAAGCCCCTCAGAAGCCTGGGCGCGAACTTCTGCTCCTTTATTGACAGCCTCCTCAAGTTAACAATGGTAGTTGCTCGTTGAATCACACTGATGTCTTACATCTAGAAGGAGTTGCACAGCTCCAAAAACCGGAGTCGAGAACACCGTATCTGGTACTAGTGCCGATACATTCCCTACGACTTCTGACACCGCCGATGCGTTGTCTGCTGCGCTCCTGCGCTTCTTGCGGAACCAGCCGACTCGCCCCCCATCACTCTGGTACTTCGCTTGCGCTTTCTCAAGCTTTGCGTAAATTGCTTCCCAGTCGGGCTCAGTTCGAATGCTGTATACCTCCGAACGCCCCTTCGGCGCAGGGAAAGTGTGTTTGAGTGTAGTCATTGCCTCGAGAAACAACTCGTTCCACCGCTCCATTGCCTTGATTTCTGTCCATTCTGGTCTGGCCGTTATAGCCTGATGACGAGACTCAAGGCCTTCTGGAGAAGGTAAATCTTCAGGCAAAGTAGATGCGTTCCCCGAATGGGGTGGTGAGATCTTGGTGTTGGGCTCATAACAACCTAGTGTAGAATCGTAATGGATCTGAGCGTCGGAAAAAGCCTGATGATGATGTTGCATCTCGCGGTCAATGAAGTAGACAGAGGCTGGCTTTTTTGTTGACTGAGGTATGTGGGGGACGTTAACTGACATGATTAATGGTTCAATAGAAAATTGCGTCCGATTGGAGTATAAGAGATTGTCTAATGCAGAACTTCATAGAAAGAAGAGGCCCAAGAAGTAGGATAAACATGTCTTCACATAAACGACTTTAGTTGCTACTCGCTCCAGATTCGGCTTTGATGAAATGAACAGGATCTGTGCGAACGCAGAGATGCGTCAAACTATTAGCAAATCAATTCTGTATGAATAACCAATCACAGTGGAGCTGGCAGCAGGCTCCAGCCCATGCAAGTCTGTCTTACGATAAGCGATGGTCTTGTAAGCGGTGCAGCTTGCATGCAGTTGCGCCCTGCACCGACACGTGCGACCAGCCTAGCCTCTCATGTTGGAGCTTGGCCATCAGGTTGTGCAGGATGTGAGGGAATTTAAACGAGTGTGGGAGGAGAAGGCCAGCGAATGAGTAAACAGCGTTTAGGCAGTGTATCATTGCTCGAGTCCCCAGTGACAGCCTAATTTGGAACCGGTGCTAGTATAGATTTCTTGGGGGGACCTTGCCCCCAAGTTTCTGTCCTCTCTGTCTCTCTCTTCTACGACTTCGTTATCGACCTCTGAACGTCTACGCACCATGGTATCATTCTAGAGCCATTGGGACCTCTTTTTGCATGATCTATATTTGTCGATAAGTTACTTCGCTAGCAGTCTAATAGAGACGATCGGGAGCTATGGGGACCTCAAGCCCCCCCGGTGCAGTCCACAATCGCGATCATCTACCAGAGCCGACGATGGCTGAACCTGACTTGGGTGAGGAGAACAACGCTAGTCAACCCACCCCAAAGCTGGCCGGTGTTGCGCCTGAAGGTGGAAACGACCCTGTCCCCTCTGAATCTGGCATTCTCGAAGAGCTCCGTGCTCTAAAAGCAAAGATTCTAGAGTTGGAAACCCTGGGCCAGAAGGAATCCACGAACATCACGGAGTCACAGCATTCGCCCCAACAAATTGAGGAAATGAGACAATACCAACAAATGGCCAAGTGCTTATATAGTCATAGAAAGGAGTGGGAAGCCACGTTTCAAGAGGAACATGCCGGCCTTCAGGAAATCAGCAACCCTTTGGCCGATGAACAGCTCAGGGAACCGTGGTACGGCCCTTGGAGGTACCAATGGCACCCGCGGTATTTTCGCAACGAATATAAGCGTCTAGATCCTTTCAATCCTTCGCACCAATGCCCGGAGACACCCCCCACACACACAGAAGACGACATGATGAATGAATATGACCATACTATAGACTACGGCGTGCGTCGGAGTCATTTGCGGAAGGTGTATGAGTGGGAATTGGACCGTCTCTGGTTATCTGAAGAAACCGAAATACGCAGACGAAAAAAACTGGAAGAGGCCGAAAAGAAATCCTCAAAGCTCAGAAATGCTAAAGGCGGTTCGGGGGACAACTCCACGAACGCTGACGCTACATCTCTTAGGAATGAGAATCAGCATGCGGTAAGATCAGTGAGCTGGCACGCATTCAAACAATTGGGCCGTGGCTCCCATGAGATCACCTTCTGTGCCGTGGACATTCTCATCGGGGATCCAGTGGTATTCGACGACTGGGGGTTCGCAGGGGATTGGTTTCGATCACCGCAAATCGAACACCGCGCCAACAAGACAGGCAAACAGGCACCAAGTCTTTCCAGTCAAGCCCAGCTACCGGAAAGAATTCGAGTGCATTCAAAGCTTGTTCTCAAGGTTCTCGACAAAATTCTGAAGTTGTCTGGGGATGACTCAATGGCAGAATCTGAAAGGCCCATCGTATTCACTCGCCCATTCAAGACACTCAGCCACTGCGAGCCAGGACTCGACAGTTGGTTGCTTGCAATGGAGAAAAAGGCCCGAAGGCAGTCGAAAAAGCCGGATGTTGTTGCTGAGATCAATCAGTCTACCGCTGAGCAGGAATCTCAGGGCTTACAGGTGGCGGGTGGGACGAACTCTGCCCCAGTAGGCGAGGGTACCGGAGTTACCACGACGAATAAGATTGTTGACAAGGACACTCAACTACCTGATCATTCATCGGCCAACACCCAATCTCTTGAAAAGAGAGGTGGATCTCAGGAGCATGTCAGCAGTATCAATATGGCCACAACGCAGGCAGACCTGGAAGACTCGGAAGAAGATGATGACGATGAATCCAGCTCTGACATGGGGGGTTTCGAAGATATTGCAAAGTCAACAAGTTCTCTTGAAGAGCTTAGGTTTTTTCTTCAAGCTGCAAAGTCTCAAATACTGATCAGGCGCCAGCATTTGGATGGGGATAAATGCCACAAGGTGTTCTTCTCAGACCTTTGGCATCTTTTCCGGCCTGGTTTCGAAGTGGTTCGCAGTGACGGAAAGCAAGTCTATCGAGTCATTCACGTTACCACCGCCAAACACCGTACGGTTTCTGCCTTCCAAAAGTGGTCAAAAGCTCAGGATGAAGAGGAGAAGAAACCACGACCAGACTTTGGTCTTACGTGCATTTATCTGGACTTCGACGGAAAGAAACTTGGTCCAGTTGCTCGAACCTTTGAATTCAAGCCATATGAAGGAGAAAGAGAAATCACATCTTTCGAAGTTTTCCCCTTGCGGTTTTATTCAGAGCGTCGGGGCAATTTCAATGACGTGGACGGAGAAGATGCAACAGACCATTCAGATGCGTCTCTACTCAGACAAGAGCTCATTCAACGCGGGAGAAGGTTTCTCGATGCTATAGCAGCCAAGCACATGTTCTATGCAGGCCCAACATTGGATACCCACGAAGACATCGAAGGGCAGGTTGTCGTGGATTTTGAGGCAGCTTTTCTCGAGGAGACCTTGGCTTCCGAGAGGCCTCAGATTGAAGCATTGCCTAGCATCAATCTCGACGATTACGCCGATGTCGACAGTTGCGAGGCAACTTGCTGCTTGGATGATAGGGTAATTGATGACACTTTTATCGATTTGAGACAAGCACGCGAATATGTTAACAGCCTTTTGCCCAAGGCTGGGGCGAATAATCTCCAATCTGTTTCTGTCTTGCCTCAGAGTTTGTCGGATGATGCATCTTTTCGGGAGATCTGCAAGTCCATCCAGGAGGACGAGCTCTTGATCCTTTCATTCAGAGTATTTGGTTTCATTCTACGAAATCGAAAGTTTGGTGGGTAACACTTCATCTCGAGTTGCAAACGTCGGAAATGTGTACTAATGTTTTGGCTTAGCTCAATTGGATCTTAAATTTCTATCCAGCATGACTTCTGCGAAGGAAATCACGAAGCCCAGGGAGAACCTTCCGACTGATGCCCTTGGGGGCAATACAAGCAATCGCGGGAGGACAGCTTTCGACCGTCTCGTTTTGGAAGATGGACACAAGTCTATGATCGAATCGCTGATATCTCAACACTTCCGGGATAAGGAGTCTAAAGACGGCCCTCATGACCAAGTTGATGTTGTGAAAGGAAAAGGTGAGAAGTGTCTCCAACTGTATCATCTTCACTCCTAACGACGAGTTACTCATAGGGAAGGGACTAATCCTACTTCTTCACGGAGCTCCTGGGGTGGGAAAAACATCGACTGCAGGTGAGCTGATTCGAGACCATTCAAGCCAGAATTTCGCTAAACGTTCTCCAGAGGGTGTTGCAGAGATGTTTGGAAAACCGCTTTTTCAAATCACATGTGGTATGTTTCCCGAACGCAGGACAGACGCCAATGCTTAAATACTGTGGCAGGTGACTTGGGAACGACTGCGAAAGAGGTTGAAGAGACTCTCGAAAGTAACTTTGCTCTGGCTAACAGATGGGGATGCATTTTACTTTTGGACGAGGCAGACGTTTTCCTTGCCGAGAGGACAAAGGAGGACTTCGTAAGAAACGGACTTGTGGCTGGTACGTTCGAGTATTCTGTCTGAAACTTCTATTCTGACAACCCTCTTAGTCTTCCTCCGAGTGCTTGAGTATTATTCCGGCATTCTTTTCTTGACGACAAACAGAGTTGGTGACTTTGACGAGGCTTTCACGTCACGCATCCACATGAGTCTCTACTACCCTGAACTGAGCGAAGAGAAAACCCGCAGGGTGTTCAAGATCAATATGGATTTGATCAGGGAGCGCTTCGCGTTGAAGAAGCGACAAATCATCATCGAGGAAATGGACATTGGTGCTTTCGCCACGCAGCATTACATCAACCACCCTAGCGCACGCTGGAACGGTCGCCAGATCCGGAATGCCTGCCAAACTGCATTGGCATTGGCTGAATACCAGGCACAGGGAGGGAGACACGATGCCATTATGAAGCCGGATGCCGTTATAAATTTGGCTGTAGAGCACTTTGAGACAGTGCGCGACGCGTATCTCAAATTCGCTGAGTACATGAACAAGATTTACGGAACCAATGCTGCTAGGAAAGCCAAAGAGGGCAAACTCCGGGCCATCTTGGTCGATGAAAATGACAATGTCGTCAGCGATACGCGCGCAGGCGGCCGGGTCGATAGGAAGGAAGCGTACCGTCAGTCTCAAAGCCCCTTTCAAATGGGCGGTCGCCACCAGCACGAGAGCCCGAGCAATCAGCATTCGCAAGGCTATACGCAACCAAGCTACCAGGACCAGCCGACTTATCAAGGGCCGTCTCAAGGCTACTCGCAACCCCAACATCAAGGGCTTCCGCCGACTGACCCTTACAGAGCGTCAACACAGGGTCACCCTTCTCAGTATCCCAGCACTCCGCCTAGCCAGTCTTATCGCGCCGCTCCGGCTCAAATGCCAGCGCATGGTGGTCAAGTCACGGGTGGTCTGGGAAGAAGTCCGGGCATCTCATTTCAAGGTTCTCAGACGAGTCAGACCCAGAGTCAGTTCGACGATCAACGAAACCAGAGGTTTTCTCAACAGCAAGGAGCCGAGTCTCAGAGGTTTGAACAGGGAATTAAAGATATGTACGTGATGTCAAACCAACCTGATCTTCGCCAGGGGCCCGCAGGTCATTTGACTCCAAGCCGAGGTGGTTTGGCGGAGATGGCTTCATCTGATCAGCAATGGACGCAGGGGAGCTCCGGTGTTGACCCTGGTATGTCAGCTAGCTTCAACAGAGTCCCACGAGGAGGACAGTAGAGTACCCAGGGGGTGATTTTCTATGTAGATACAGCCATACAGAATGCTCATCACGCTGTTCATGCTTGAACTTTTAGATTCCTCGGCTAAAGTCATGACTTGCGCTAGCGGACAGACGGGTTAGCCCAAAGTCTGACGCACATCTGTGAATTCATTTGATTGGTTATGCAAGTATCATGAACGGCAGTACCATCAGCGCGTGCAGCTCTGTGCTCATTGGTTGCAGTCGCGCGGCACAGAGATGCGTTATTTTTCGAGGAGTTGCCTGCCTGGAAACGACTCTTCTGTATACTAGGTCAGCAAAGAAATCAGCCGAGCAAGCATCTTCCGTTCAATACTGATCACGCAGCGGATCCTCTCCTAACTATACTGAGACTATGCTATGCCAAGTCTGTTTAAATGGCCTTGAAGGCTTCCGAGACCCTTCAAAAGTCAAAAGAGTCGGATACAGCGACGAAAATGAAACTCCTGTGCTCACGTCAGACCAATATGAGATAGCGAAAGCAGTCGCCTCTCCCCGGGTCAACGTGACAAGATCCATGTATAACGGAATGAAGCTATATCACTTGAGCTCTGAAATCGAGATGTACGCGTTCGCGCATCATCCTACTAAGACGTCATGGTTACAAGCAAAGTCTGAAGATTGTGAGATTTGCAGGAAGATCGACTGCGATGAGCAAGTGGGAGATACTGCTGATGATGACGGCCACGGTTCAACTACCTCAAAGCCTGACTTCTTTACTACCTTCGTCGTCAAATTTGAAAGAGCAAGACATGATGAAGGGGACACTTTTATCATGGTAGTATGGCAAGGTGCACAATCGAGTTCAACCCGCTGGAAATCTTGTGTAGACGGTAAGACTGAAGAATCCGCAGGAGTATTTTGATGTTGACTTTTGAGCCGATAGAGCACCAGGCTAGTCCTTTTAACGACTTTATCGGACAGTCCACAAACGACGAAGCAACTTGGCGCGTTGTTGAAGATTGGATCAGTAATTGTGTTGAAAATCACCCCAACTGCAACTCTAGGTCGTTGCCAGACGGAATAGTCCAGCAAGAGTTCGCAACAGAGTCTTCAAGAGATACTTCGGAAACGCATCGACGAGAACTACCTTCTCGACTCCTAAAGCTCGAAATGGTCGGCCAACAAAGAACGTTTCGCTTGGTTACAAGGCAGGAGATTGCGACGCGAGCCAGCTATGCGACGCTCAGTCATTGCTGGGGAACTAAACCCTGGAATAGGAACCTGATATTAAATCAAGCCAATCTGGCGACCTTGTCGGCTTCACAACCCATAACCAATCTACCAAAGACGTTTCGAGAGGCATTTGTCGTACTGGAGAGGCTTCAGCTCGAGTACCTCTGGATCGACCGCTTCTGCATCTTCCAAGACTCTGAGGAGGACTGGCTTGCAGAGGCATCAGAAATGCATAACGTCTATGCAAACTCCATCATTTGTATCTCGGCATTGGGCGCGGAAGATGATGACGGGGGGCTATTCTTCTCTCGTGATCCGCTCGCCGTTATGATTCCAGTGGTCAATATACCTATCGGCGAGTCAAACGAGCCCGTGCCTCATGCTGGAGAGATGGCCATGGCCTACATCAGAAACACAGACTCTCAATCTGCTGTGCTGTCTAAGCGTGGTTGGGTTCTTCAAGAAAGGATACTGGCTCCTCGGGTTCTTCACTTTGGGAAGAGCCAGGTGTTGTGGGAGTGCAATACGTCCATCTCCTCTGAGGCTCAGCCAAAGTTTGACAAGTGGAAGAGCGTTCATGTTCTCCTCGCTCATCCCGATATCAGACCCAATTACAAGCGCCGGACTGTGTGGAAGACCACTATTGGATACGAGCCGCCGAGCTTCGAGAACCCAATCGACTGCATCTTCATCGAATGGTACCACATTCTTGATTATTATAACCACTGTCATCTCACCAAGAGTGACGACAAGCTTGTGGCAATATCGGCTATTGCAAAAGACATGAAAAAGCATCTTAGCCATCTAGGCGAATCATCAGTCTATCTCGGCGGTCTCTGGAGATCGAGGATGCCGCGCAACTTGCTTTGGCAGATTTCCAATCCGGCAAAACGACCGGAGCGGTATCGAGCACCGTCTTGGTCCTGGGCTTCCGTTGATAATGCATCTTTGTTCACGTACCATGAGGGTTATTCGTGGTTCCCAAAGCGTCATAGGGTATTGGTGTCTGTCATTGAGGCTACAACGACTCCTCTGACATCGGACGATACCGGCCAACTACAAGGCGGCAGCTTAACTCTCAAATGCCGGTTGCTCAGAGCTATCCTTGCTAAGGGGCCTCGAGACGGACAAATTGGTGCTGAAAAGCTCGAGACTATTGAAGGAATTAGAATTCATCACCAGCGGGAGAAATGGGCTGAGTATTACTTGATGAGGTTCGACACCGTCGAGGACGAGCGTTGCAGTCCCGTTCTGTTCGTGCCTATTCAGGTCGAAGAAGACAAGGAGAATAGGGCCGACGAAAGTCGTATTCGCGGAAATTACTATGGTTTGGTCCTCGAAAAGTCTGGGAACAGTTACAAAAGAATCGGCAAACTCCAGTACGATATTTATGAGCCTTCGCTGGGGTCTTGGTTTGATGACATCGATGTTCCATGGGGAAAGATTTCCATTTTATAGCACGTGTCAATACCATAGAGAGAAACTTCTTCACTAGTAGGATGTTTCAGCAGCAATACGATCGACCTTCAAACGTTTGATGATGTGTTTCGGTCTTTGGCTTTGGACACCTGCCGCCTTTAATTTTTGAATGCCGCCCTACTAGTCTCCGACATCCAACTTATCCGTCTGTGAATAGCCTTTGTCCCATTGAGCTTAGCCATCATCCCTACTTTTGGCCTGGTTGTTGCCCTCGTTATGATTTCTGAATACGTGGAACCTTCCTCATTTTAGCACAGGCATACTTTACTTCGGTTATCCGGGGTCCCGAATGTGCGTATGAGAGGAACCTGAGCTAATTAGCTTCCAGCCTGTTCTAACCTGGTGCGCCCTGTGGGTTTCATGACTAACAATACGATGACTGTATCTCATGGACCGGATGTGCGAGTGGACTACAGCAAGTGCATAACATGGGGAGTTATAGCCAATCAGAAAAAGTCTATGCGCCTTGCTGGCTAACGAGAAATCTTTGGCTAATAGAATTTGGCGAAAAGCTGGAGGGGTGGATGTACTGCAGCCCAGGATTAATGAGATCTTGGCTGCTAGCTACGCCCTTCGTACGACAGTCTGTTAACTAAATGCTCCACGTCAAAGCTTCTTGGTAAAACAACTTGCTTATATACACTTGAAGCTCACTTAAAATACATGCCCGCCCTTGCAATGTCGTTGCTTGCATCAGAGCATTTACGCTACATCCCCGTTTTTCCAGCGACTTGTCTTTGAATTACTCTTCGCCACGATTGCAACCTACGATGCGGCCACTTCTCAACTCAGCGGCAGACGCCATCGGCTGCACACCTCTCGTGCGTCTCGACCGCATTACGTCCTCTCTCGGACTCGACGGAACTATCGTTGCCAAACTCGACTATTTAAATCCTGGAGGATCGAAAAAAGACCGTGTCGCGTTCGGCATCATCGAAGAAGCAGAGAGGCTGGGCACACTCAAGCCCGGGCAAGCGGTCGTCGAGCTCACGAGTGGCAACACAGGAACTGGCCTCTCGATCGTCTGCGCAATCAAAGGCTACAGATTCATCGCCGTCATGTCTAAAGGGAACTCCATCGAACGTGCTCGCATGATGGCGGCTTTGGGCGCTGAGGTCGTGCTCGTTGACCAAATGCCCGGCTCCATCCCTGGACAGGTTTCAGGACCGGACCTCAGACTTGTGGAAGAAAAGGCGAAGCAAATCGAAATCGAGCTCGGGGCCTTCCGTGCTGACCAGTTCACACGCGATGGGAACTGGTTGGCTCACTACGACGGGACTGGCACGGAACTTTGGGAACAGACCAACGGCAATCTTGATGGATTCGTTGATTACGTCGGCTCGGGGGGCACGTATGCTGGTGTGACAAAACGGCTAAAGGCATTAAACCCATCAAGCAAATGCTTCATCGTCGAGCCTCAGGGGGCAGCTGTCTTGGCTAAGCAGCCGGTCTCACAAGCAGAACATCCCATTCAGGGAGGAGGCTACGTGATGCCTGATCTGGTCTACTTGAAGGATGTACCTGTTGATGGCTACATCCAGGTCACTGGCGATCAAGCAAAGCAAGGCGCCCGGCTTTTAGCGAAAAAGGAGGGGATTTTCGGGGGTTTCTCCAGTGGCGCAAACGTAAGCGCAGCCATCGAATTGCTGAAGGGGCCAATGAAAGGGAAGACGATTGCAATCATGATCTGTGATTCAGGCCTGAAGTATCTATCGACTGACCTTTGGGCTGAGACGTTGGAAAATTGAAGCATCGGTAGCATAGTTTCAAAAGAATGAACACTACCTCGTGGGAGAGGCGATCAAGCATCAAGGCCACAGAGGGAATGAACATGCTGTTTCGCGATATGAATCAAGCCCTTTAACCCTCTATTTGTACATGCCATCTATCAAACACGGGCGAAGCAAGAAATGCAGGGCATGCGTCTGGCACATCTAACCCCTTAATCGAAATCTTTCTCTGCCCCTCCAACAACTGTAAGGATTTACTCCAATTTTTAATTGCATTTATCCGAGCAGCTTTTGGATATCTGCCATCCGGGTCTCCTGGGTCTTCTTGCCCTTGTTCTTTTCCTGGAAAGCTTTGCCAACAAGCGTTCGCTTCTCATGTTGAATATCCAGCACGCGCTCCTCGACGGTGCCCTCCATGACAAGTCGCCAGACGGTAGTGGGCCGCTTCTGGCCCAGACGATGCACACGATCGACGGCCTGGTCTTCAATGGCCGGCGCCCACCAGCTGTCCGCGAGAATGACCGTGTCTGCCGATACGAGGTTGAGACCGACACTGCAGACGGCCAAACTAGCAAGCATCACCCGCGTATTGGGGTCGTTGTCGAGAGCATCAATGGCTGCGTCACGTTTCGCAGCTGTCATTGAGCCGTCGATGCGGCAGAACTTGATTCCTGCCTCCGCGATTTGGGCTTGGATAATGTTAAGGAACGAAGTCCATTGCGAGAAGATGACAATCTTGGACTTTGGGTCTTTTGTCGTGGCTTGGACAATCTTAACGAGGGCTTCCGTCTTGGAGCTCTTTCCATCCGAATCGAAGCCATCGTCTGCGGCCTCCTCGCCACCTTCGGGGGCCGGTTCAAGAAGAGAATCTTCTTCGAGCTGGTTGCGGCACATGGGGCATTTTTGCTGGGTCTGGATGACCTTGGTGATGCAGCCACGGCAGAAGACGTGCTTGCAGTGGGTGATGACTGGGCTGTCCAGGGTATCAAGACAGACCGCACAGTCCTCTTGCGTCTCAATGTAAAGGCGGAGGGCTTCTTGGAGGATCTTCACGTTCTCTGGGTTAAGGGAGACCACAGATTGGCCCTCGAGAACCTTCAGAAGATCGTCGATTCTCTTGCGACAGAGTGTCCAGTGATTGCAACTAGTGAAACATCAGCATCTCCTCTATGGTTCACAGCAGGTGTTCTTACACTTGTCGTAAACGTAGAAGTCGTTCCAGGACGCTCTGAAACTGGCCTTTTCCTGCTTTGGTTTGATTACGATAATCTTCGAGCGCCCCCTTGGCTTCGTTCCTGAGGTTTATAGTCAGACAGGCAAATCGTCATTCGACCTGGGCTACTCACAATAAAGCTTCGTACTTGTTCTTCTCATCCGGTCTAAACTGGATGCGATGTACGTACTCCGTCTTGGGCGGTAACTTCAAATCGACAAACTTCATGTCCTTCTTGCGCCTCAAGCAAAGGTCTCTCATAAGAAGCTGTAAGAGTGTCTCGGCTCGTTGATGCCCTTGAGCGAGTGGCCGGGAGATAACTGTGTTGAAAATGACTGGTTGTTCGACACCACCAGTGATATGGAGGAACTGGAGTAGGGACTGGAAATCCTTGATGTTGTTGATGCTTTCCGATGATTAGCTACCTATGGTCAACTGCAAGAGGCTTTAGCGTGCTTACATTGGAGTTCCGGTAAGCGCCCATCTGGATTGAGCAGTGAGCTTGGTTGCGGCGATGGCTGCTTTGGTTTTGGCGTTGCGGATGGTATGGCCCTCGTCAAGCACGACTCGCCTCCATTTCATCTGCATCAGGGGCGATGTTTTGGGAACGGAGTCTTCAGCCTTCTTTGGTCCCTCCATGGCAAGCGTATTGTAGCTGGTGATGACAACTTGGTACTTTGCCAGCTCATCCTTACCCACCTTGTTGGATCCATGGTACGTGTAAATGGATGGAAGGTGTTCCTTCTTGACGTGTCTGCGCATTTGCTGCTCCCAATTGCTCATGACACTCAATGGAGCGACGATAAGGGTAGTGCCGGGACCGCCCGTCAAAATGAGACTGATAACTTGGAGAGTTTTGCCAAGACCCATGTCATCAGCAAGAATGCCGCCAGAGAGCAGTTTGGGTTCGTTCATCACGAAGTTGGTCGCCATGTTGCTCATTACCTTGTCATTCTTTGGGATCCGTTGCCAAAGCTGAATACTTTCCGTAGTGCCCTTCGGTGGAAACTGGGGGCTTTCCTTGGACGTCATCCAGGCCAACCCCTGTGTATAAGTCAGCATTGCCATGTCGATATGTCGATGCGGATGGAAAATGCGTCATACCTGCAACTGATACGGCAAAAGCTGAGCTTCTAGCACGGCTGGCTGCTCCGCCATAGGCATAGCGGCCAGAGTATCTTCGTCGATAACAAGGGATTTGACTGCATCACCGCGACTGTGGGTTTGCAAAGCTTGACTGGCTTGCGTGAGCTGCTCCAGTGACACTTCCGGTTCTGGGGCCGCTGAGGCACAGCCGCCCAAGCCGATCGTTGACTGTGAATTCTTGATGCCGAGTGCCTTTCTCTGGGCTTCAGCCTCAGCCCTGGTCTTCTTGAGCTCGGTGGCTTTGATGAGCTTATCCTTCTTTAGCCTGTCTTCCAATTGCAGACGCTGCTCACGATCGCCGGTTCCGAAAAGGTGCAGGCGAACGGGGCAGTCGAACACGCCCTTCTCGCCTGTGAGTGTTCCTTCCAAAGCAACATCATCATTGTCCTAAGAAGGATGAGCATGGCACTGGGCCAGTGGAATGGGCCACTTACAACGTATGGCGCCAGCTTCTCGGCCACCTTGCGCGGGATGTGGCCAATCTGGATGCCCATGACATTGCAGACCCGAATGGCATTGGAATCGTACTATGCACGTTAGTATGGTTGCAAGGCCACGAATAAGAAACATCATACTGGGTTGGTGGGTTCCCGCAGACAGACGACAACCTCTCCCTGCGAGGCGTAGCCGTTGTAGTACCGCACTCCGACGATCTTGGTATCTAAAATACGGCGTTAGATCACATAATACACTAAACAGGGGCCAGAATCCCTACCGAGATTTCCATAAAGCTCTCGGGCTGGACCATCGGGAGCTTGTGTGAGGTCGATTAGGTCAGCATCGTCCCGGTCGTAATACACATTCTGTGAAGAAGGGCCGGCGAAAGAACTAGAGCTAGCCGTGCGTTGGGTGTTATACGGCTGGCTGCCCGCAACACGGGCCCCGGAGGATTGTCCCAAAGACGGGCCCCGGTTTACGGCCGGCCTTTTGCTTGGTGGCGGCGCTGATGAGGTCTCGCCCTCGCTGCTAATGAGGTCGATGACATCGAGGCCACGCTTCTTGGGCGGCATCTTTGCTGTCCGCGTGCGGCCCGGTACCTATTGATGGGCGACCTGATTGGACTTGGTTCGTGCAACGATGGACCGAAACGGGAAAGTCGTCAGATGTGGCCAGATTCAACGGTCGGTACCGAAAACTCCAAAAGGACCAAATCAGGAAACCCAGAAAGACGGAACCTTTCACGGCGAAGCTCCCAACGCGGCCGACGCGTCTCGCGTATCTCGCTGGGCGTCCACCCACTGCAGGATCGACGCAGGGATCCGTTTGCTCTTGCCCGAGCGCTGAGGCTTGAGCTTGTGGCTCGTGCGCAAGTCAAGTCAGCCAGAAAACGGGCCCCGGTCTATGGCTGGAAACATCAAGCACGCCATCGTGGGGGAGGAAGAACCGAGCCAATCACCACCGAGTGCAAAATCACGACATTTCACGTGACCCGCCTCGGGGGCCCGTTATGGGTGGTCTCTGGCCAACGGCGACCTCTTGCGGCTCTTACACCCTTCACAACCTCAATCGACTTCATTTTGCTTGTTTCAGGCAGTCTCCTGTTGAATTTGCTATCTTCTGGTACCCAAAAACCAAAGGGAAACGCGGCAGGTTGAACTCCTCGTCGGTGTCTATCCACTATCAGGTGGATAGAGCCCTTCATGCCATCATCAGTCATCAGTCTACCGACAAGCGCCTTTCGGCTGTCGGCATGCTCGCTTCTATATCAAACAGGACGACCCGAGGCTCGAGCCATCATCGGAATGCATGATAGAAAGAATACGCAAACGCCAAACACGAATTCGAACATTATCCGGGCTCCTCCTCTTACTGCTTCGGCAGTCGGCGGCCGTACGCCGAGTAGTAGCCGCACTTGGCTACATGACTACTCTTACTAGTCTTCTCATTGAAGATGTTGCATCCTCCCTTAGCGACATTGGGCGGGGTGTACACTACGGAGCTGGTCAGCAAAGTTGTTTCGGCGAAGACGGTGAAGCAAAACCCACGGTGAAGGGATACGGCGAAGTCGCTGCCCCTGTTGCAGACCCGGTGGACGCCAAGTTCGTCTGCCATGTATGCCACCGCATTCTCCTTATGTGTTCTCTCAGACATCACTTTCATCGGTTGTTCTTCCTCGCCCTCGGGGAAGGCATATCGGATCTCAGTCAGGTTGCCCTTGAGGATTTTCATGAGGCAATGGGCGTTGCCGTGGTCGTGGATGGGACTGCCCTTGCCCGGAGACCAGACAAGCACAAGCTGTGTTTGCATTAGCATCGACGCCAACCACAAAGCTGTGGCGATGTCCACTCACGAGATTGCTCTTGCCATTACCCTCGTCGACGAGGTTTCTTGTGTATCCCATGCTCTTCTCGGCGAATGCAAATTGGATCCATTCGCTCTCCCTTGAGTTGTATTGTTCCATCAGCTCCATCAACTCCTTGACGTCGACGTCAGCCGAGTCCAACCCCGACGACGGGCCCAGGGCCTCCTTCAACGCCAACACGAGCTCATCGAACCGGTTGCTGTCGCCCTTCAGTTCGTGCCCGAAGGCAGAGGTGATCTTGGTCAGGATTTCGAGGGCCATGGCTACGAATGGGATGGCTGGTCTATGGTACTGGTCGATGTTTGGGATGGACGATTGTCTTTCGGTATGCTCAACGTGCGGGGTTTTGAGTCTTGTCGCTCTCTGGTGATACGATTGCACCGGTCGGTCACCGGGACAGGCTCGCACCTCATTACCTGATGGAAATGGGCGGAACTCGCGGAGCGACTGGTTATTCCGACCTCGGACGGTGGGTCGGGACGCCCATCAGACCCTATCTCTTCTCTGAGACAGGGTAGTCTGAACACGTTGCCGGCGCTGCGTGCACAGTTTGGTCGGCGAATGCTATGTCGTTGGGTAGACGAATTCCCCCAAAAATGGAGGTTTCTGGTTGGTTGAGATAACCAAAGGAGGCTTTGTCGTGGGATCCTTGCAAAGCCGGCGATAGGCGGTGGGCGGCCCCCTATGTACATGGTGGTCAGATGGCCTCACATAAGACGAAATGGGTCTGGTTAGAGTTTCGCGGCGGTCAGGTCTAGTCAATTGCAAACCGTAGAGACGACGTATCTAATGCGCGCGTGCTGCTTTGGAGCTGATTGACAACTATGGGGTTGCGTTATGTTTACTCAATGCCAATGGGGTTCTGTGTTCGGTACCGGTGTTCAGGGTGCGGACCGACAGCCGCTACGCTCTCAATCGCCGACTGAGCTGGGCGTGGTGGGGCGCCTGACCATAACGGGCTCGCCCGTATTACTCACACTAGGATTGCTCAGCTAGCATACCTAGGTACCTACTTTCCAGACGACCGCTACTAATCTCAAGATTTTCTCATAGAGTTTCTTTCTTTCGTTCAGAAGGTAGTATTCATCTAATGTTGACTCAATTTAAAATTCAAAGTTGCGTGCGGTTTCATTGTAGTCTTGCGCCCCTTGCAAACTTCACTACCCAGAATGGCAACTATCAGCACAACTGCGACTATTCAGTCGAAACCTCAGCAGGCCTGCCTGCAGTCGGGAACAGACGGTACGACAGCGGGCGATACGACTCCCTGTACGCCCTGCAAGGAGGATGTTGGCTGGCGAAAGATAGTCAGAAACTTCACCCCATCGTACGTCACAGCGGAAGCATTTCCGGCAAGAGTGTCTGACACTGGTACAGATGGTTCGCGGTTACAATGGGCACGGGCATCGTGTCAATCCTCCTCCATAACCTGCCTTACAACGCAACTTGGATTTCTCACGGCCTCGCTGTCGCGTTCTTTATTCTCAACGTTGGTCTTTTCACGATATTTACGGGCATTACCGTCTTGCGTTATGCACTTTATCCCGAAATTTGGAAGGCGATGGTTATCCATCCAGCCCAGTCAATGTTCCTTGGCTGTTTTCCGATGGGATTTGCAAGTAAATGACCTTTACATAAGATTGGGAAAATACTAGCCACTAACGCCTGCACTTAGCTATCATCAACATGATGATATTCGTCTGCGCTCCAGCCTGGGGCAAGTGGGTTGTTTCATGGGCTTGGGGCTTCTGGTGGTTTGACGCTGCTCTATCCCTGGCAACTTGCATCACTGTACCGTTCGTCATGTAAGTCCAAATTTGGGGCAGGTCACAATCCTAACCACCCTCGGTAATCATTGCTCAGGGTCGGGTGTGACTGGAGGCCTTTCAAACTTGCCTCACCTTCTTTGGCCTATTCTAATAGCCGAACCCTAGGATCCATCAACACCGTCCGGGGCTACAAGCAGTCACAGCAGCCAGTCTTTTGCCAATCGTTCCGGTAGTAGTTGCGTCTTCAACGGGTGGTATCGTAGCTGAGGCTTTGTCCAACCCAGATCATGCATTTATCACACTTATCGCCTCTTACATCCTATGGGGGATAGGGATCTGCTTCTCCAGCATGGTGTTGGCACTTTACTTCCATCGCTTGACTATTCATAGTCTTCCTCCCAAAGAAGCCATCGTCTCGGTGTTTCTGCCAATCGGTCCATTGGGCCAAGGCGGCTTTGGCATCCAGCAACTGGGCAAAGTGTCCCTCAAACTCCTTCTCCAGTCAACAGCTTTTACCACTGCGGCGCCCGGTGCCGTACACGGCGGGGAAATTCTCTACTTCCTGGGCATTTTCCTCGCCTTGATTATGTGGGGCTTCGCGCTGGTCTGGTTATCTTTTGCTCTCATCAGCATCGTGACGATGCAAAAGTTCCCGTTCAACATGGGCTGGTGGGGTTTCACGTTTCCGTTGGGTGTGATGGCAACCTGTACCGGCATGCTGGCGCAGGACTTGGATAGCACGTTCTTCAGAGTCATGACCATGGTATGCACCGTTTCTCAATCCCAAGAAGTGAAGTTACTAACAACAACGTGTCTAGATTTTCTCACTTTCCGTCTGTCTCCTATGGCTGTTAGTAGCAGTCAGAACGCTGCACCAAGCCATATCTGGGGAGATCTTCTTCGCTCCCTGCTTGAAAGACCTGAGAGACAAAAGGGCCCAGGCAGGATCAGACCGGAGAGTATGAATTGCAACGTGAACGTGAAAGACAGAGCGCCGTTCATAGATGTAGACGTGGATAGAGACGGGGCCCGCGACGAGGTAGAGATAACGATAGTAGACTCACTGACAAATAATGTCTAGATAAAAGTTCAAGCATAGATGCATGGAATCGGATTCGAGACTGTTTCATAAACTTTATTTGGACTTCGTTAAAGCAATACGTCAAGCTCTCAAAGCTCAGCTCCATCCTGTGTTTCTGAGGGAGAAGCTTTCTGACAGCCCATTTGAGGTCGGCAGATGGCAGGGGTTTCTCCAAAAAAAAAACGCTAATGGCGGGGTTGATGAGGTGCAGCACCCGCCAAAATTCTCTTGCGGGGGCACCAACCACACTCAGGTCCAAAAGTCCAGGCGCCGAAACTCTGAATAAGAATTGCCATTGCGGTTGCGCCCACTGGCTGCATGGTCCCCTCGCCAAACCCACACCCCGCTACTGCAACTCTCGCACCTCCCAAGAATTGTGACGGCAGCAGCAGTTTCAAGGCTCAAACTTGAGCACCGCTGCTCTTCGACGATTCTCAAGGGTCAAGATGGCTTCCCCTCTTGACCGGCCGGGCATCTTGTCCGTGTTGAACAGTAAGCATTGGATCGGTCGCAGTCGCGTCGCTACCCGTGCGCATTTGCGCTAACTTTTCTGATTCTTTGTGCGTAGACTTCCACGATGTATGGCAAGAAATCCGCATACCCGTCATTCTGTTTACTGCTTTCGGCCTGCTCGTACTCCGGTTCTATCTTCACAGTGTCGAGGAGAAGGACGAATTGAAAGCATTCCCCAAGGCCTTGAACAGGGAAAAGCCCGAGTCGAAGCCGCTGCCGAAGCCCGTCGACGAGAAGAAGGATGCGAAGCCGACTCCGGTTGTCGAGGCGAAGGCGCCCAAGTCGAACGGCCCGAAGAGGATAAAGGGTGGTCTCGTCAAGAGGCCCTCTGAGGAGCTCAAGAATGGAGAGGCTTTGACAAGGACGCTGCGACCTCTGATCTTCTTTTCGAGCATCACCGCGAACACCCCGAAGATTGCGAAGGACTATGCCGAGCGCTTGGAAAAGGAGCTGGAAAAGGTTACCGGGGATACCAGCTGCTCGTTCAGCACCCCCGAGGTTCTGGATCTGGCTGAAATCGACTTTGACGACTACTTCATCACCCCGCCCAAGTCTGAGGACCCCGTCGAGCTGTTCTACATGTTCCTCCTGCCAAGTTACAATATTGACACGATCAATGACACCTTCTTGGAGCACTTGCAAGAGACGCACCATGATTTCCGCATCGACACCGCCCCTCTGTCCCCGCTACTTGGTTACTCCGTTTTTGGCTTTGGCGACCGCGAAGGATGGCCTACGGAAGACGAAGGCTTCTGCTTCCAGGCCAAGGAGGTCGACAAGTGGATGGCTAAGCTTACCGGCCGCAAGAGAGCTTTCCCTGTGGGCATGGGTGATACGAAGCGGGACTACGTCGAGAGGTTATCTGAATGGTCTGAGGGTGTCGTGGATGTTCTCGGTATGCTAGCCAAGACTGGTAGCCTAGGTGAAGGTCTGCCGGGAAGCGGCGCACCCGAAGAAAGCGATGACGAGTCCGCCGCGGAAGATGATGATGAGGTTCTCATCGAGGAAGACGCAAAGCCCGAGAAGCTCAAGAGCCGCAAGAACATTGACGATGTCGAGGATCTCGGTCGCATTATGAAGAGCTCCAACCCCGACGCCGAAACGAAACCCGCCGCTGCCCCTATTGCCGTCGACTTCACAACCTACGTAAAGTCCGCCTCCGGCCCCAAGAAGACTCCGACCAATGCCGCAAAGGAGATGGTCCCAAAGAACTCCCCCACCTACGCCTCGCTCACAAAACAGGGCTATTCCATCGTCGGCTCCCACTCGGGCGTCAAGATCTGCCGCTGGACAAAGTCCGCCCTGCGCGGTCGCGGCTCCTGCTACAAGTACTCCTTCTACGGCATCAACTCTCATCAGTGCATGGAGACGACGCCCTCGCTGTCTTGCTCCAACAAGTGCGTCTTTTGCTGGCGCCACGGCACGAACCCCGTCGGCACTACGTGGCGCTGGGTCGTCGACCCGCCCGAGCTCATCTTTGACGGCGTCAAGGCCAACCACTACAACAAGATCAAGATGCTCCGCGGCGTTCCCGGCGTCAGGGCCGAGAGGTTCGCCGAGGCGATGCGCATCCGTCACTGCGCCCTCTCCCTCGTCGGCGAACCCATCTTCTACCCGTATATCAACGAGTTCCTCGGCATGCTCCACGCCGAGCGCATCTCGTCCTTCCTCGTCTGCAACGCCCAGCACCCGGACCAGCTCGCCGCCCTCAAGGCCGTCACGCAGCTGTACGTTTCCATCGATGCCTCGAACAAGGAGTCGCTGCGGAAGATCGACCGCCCGCTGCACCGCGACTTCTGGGAGCGGTTCCAGCGGTGTCTGGACATCTTGCGGGAGAAGCGCTTCAAGCACCGCACCGTCTTCCGCCTTACGCTCGTCAAGGGCTTCAACGTCGACGACGAGGTTGAGGGGTACGCGCAGCTCGTCGAGAAGGGGCTGCCGTGCTTCGTGGAGATCAAGGGCGTCACGTACTGCGGCACCTCCACGGCGTCCAACGCCGGCCTGAGCATGTCCAACGTGCCGTTCTACTGGGAGGTTGCAGAATTCGTGACGGCCCTGGAGAAGAGGCTCAACGAGAAGGGGCTTAAGTATGGCATCGCGGCGGAGCATGCGCACAGCTGCTGCGTGCTGCTTGCGAGCGACAGGTTCTACAAGGACGGCAAGTGGCACCCGAGGATTGACTACCAGAGGTTCTTTGAGCTGCTGGAGGAGCGCGGGGCCGATGGGGACTGGAAGCCGGAAGATTACATGGGTGAGGCGACGCCAGAGTGGGCGACTTGGGGCAATGGCGGATTTGATCCCCGAGATGAGAGAGTTGACAGGAAGGGCAGGAAAATCGAGGCGTGAGTTCTTAGTAGTAATAAAAAAAGACGACTGCATCCGCAAGGGCACAACATTATCTTCACAAACCCAGTTGTGGGCCGTCTTGAACTTGGAGAAATTTTGTGAACCGGGCGCCATTGCGTCATAGCCATGGTCATGACAGTGGTGACAACCCCAGTCCAACGTATACGAACGTTTAAAACAACGGTCAAATGGCTTTTCTGCCCATCGACAGTAGCGGATTGACAAGCATTACGAGATTGTGAAATTCGTTAACTTCTTGCTTGTTCTTCCTGCCAGGGTCGTCATCAATATACATGTGGTTTCCTCTTACAAAACCTTCTATCAAAACAGCCCAGCCGGCCAGAGTATTGTACATTGAAAAAGTCGTGAATCCTCTTTTTCTCTTTGCGATATGATGGTAGTCGGGGGATTAGGAGTGAGATTCGGGGAATGATTGGACTGTATCACGCCATGCGCAGAGTGATCTTGCTGTCCTTTTGGTGGGTTATGAGGTGTGCCCGTCGGTAGCCGGGAGGAGTGAGAGAGTGGAGGGGATTAATCTGGGTGCCGTAAAGGACGGAACCTCTTTAGTCCAGGCCAACGGTGGGCATGTCAGAGAGGTTGGCGTTGACACCGCCGGTGTACTGGCCGATGTTGAGGGTCGAGTCGTAGGCGATCATCTCAGCCAGTACGTCCAGAACAGGCTGTCAATGGGTTAGTTCCATGTCAAGTCTTTGAAAGTCGGCGTGTTTCCTTACCTTGGGGACGGTCTTGTCGTAGATACCAATCAGGTCACCAGGCGTGGGGTAGACCTTCAGGCCCTTGTAGAACGCCAGCGCAGCCTCAACGGCGCGGGTGGCTATTGATTTAATATGTCAGCACCCAAGTCCATTTGAAATACTCTAGAGGGTTTGCGCTCTTCCTCGAAGACGGGAGATCTGTGGAGGGGTGAACTAACGGTCTGCGGAAAGGGTCTCTCCCTCGGAAACCTGCTGCAAGAAAAAGGCTTCTCTGGACTCAACGTCGTCGGGGAAGCCCTCGGCCTTGGCGTCATCGACGGATTGCTTGATCGCTTGACGCTGGCGGACGGTCTCCAGCTGGGCCTCCTCCTTCTCGGCCTTGTGCTGTCTGCGCTCGTTTCGGCGCAGCTCTCTGCGGAATTCGGCCTTGTTGCGGCGGTTGTAGTCGAAGTAAACGGCGTAGGCTGTTTGGCAACAGTCAGCACAACAGCTTCCTCTTTGTCTATCCACGACCCCTCGTATGCCATCAATATATCCAGTAATGGTAGTCTGGCTGGCGCGCGGAGCTGGAGGCCAACTCACCAAACAGGCCGGTAACCGCGGCGGCGACCGATGCCGTCACTATCGTCGACGTCTGGGACATTTTGGGATACTCCGAAGGCGGGACAAACAAAGAAGGCAGGGCGATGCAGCGGGCGGGTGCTGAAGAGGGGTAGAGTGTATGCGAGAGGCGGCTCGAAAGTCGATGCTGCGCTCAGCGGTTTTGTTGGATGATTCGCAGGACCTGAGAGGTTGGCGAGGGTTCCTTTCGTTGGCGGAGTGAATATCGAAAGAGAGAAGCTCTACCGGGAATCGATGGAGCTTCCGCTACCAATTTTTTTTAGCCTCTGCGCCATCGTTTGCCAGAGGTCGCGTTCCTTGCCAAGAGCCGCTGTGGGTGGTGGGTAGGGAGGCACGGACCAGGTGTACGTATCAAGACGACAGCTTGCCCGCACTTCCACTGAGAGATCCAATGGTGCTGGGGCTGCTGAGTGGTTACGTAGCGGGATGGGTGCTACCAGCGGCCCAAGTCCACTATCCCGTCCATCCAAATGAGCAGGGGTGCCGCCTCTCAAACGGCCACAGTACCGGCACGGCAGCTACCCATTCCTTGAGAGGTGCATGAAACAACAACGACCCGACCTTCATCCTCACGAGGGGCGCTTTTGTGCCCTTGAACACCTACAATTCTTCGACGCACGGCAGACGTCGCTGGAATCGGCTGCTACCCGTACGAAACTGAACAAAGCAGTTACCCAACATGTCAGAAGATCGGGAGAGGAGCAAGATCTCGCTGAGAAGCGGCAACAAGAGGAAAGGCCGCCCCCAGATTAGTGCTCCGCGTCAGATCTCGGAACCCATTCTGCAAGATGGATCTGGTCCGGTGCGGCAGCCCGGCTCGAGGCCGATGGCCGACGCTGGTCCTCCTCCGGCGCAGCCGCGACCTCGTCCGCCGCCGCAGGCTGGCGGCTCAAAGGTAAGCAAGACAGCCAAGCGCCGAGCTGTCTTCCACGGTCAGGTGGAAGCATGCGATGCGACTCGATAGCAAGATGTAGGAGCTAACTCGAGGATGTGCAGACCTCCGACTTGGTGAAGCGACGATACTCTACGAGATTTAACAACCTCCCGAATGACTTCGACGTGAATAACCCTCCGGTGCCGGCGATGCCATCCCTAGACAAGTACGAAACCCGCCAGCGAATGGCGCGACCACCCCCCAGCCGAGGGGGCGATACGGCTCCCGCTCCTATTGTCGACGTCAAGGCCCTACGTGACCCCAACTTGGCTCCCGATCAATGTATGTCTTCGTGTTCGGTGTATTCCACTCGAGGTTGCTGACTTGGTATCCTGTAGATGTCGCCAATTTGCTCAGCGAAGCCTCCGAGGACCAGATCCGCGAGTTCGAAGACAACCTCCGAGGTCTCAAGAGTCGAGCCGGCGCAGATCTCCAACAAAATGTCATGCAAAATCGCACCCAGTTCATCAAAATCAGCAAGGAAGCCGAAAAGCTCAAGGGCGAGATGCGAGCGCTGAAGAACCTCATGACAGACCTCAAGGTTAACACAACAGCACTGCGCCAAGCATCCAGCAACAACAATAATAGTAATAACGAGTCGTCGGGCCTCAATGGCGAGCTTTCCACGGGCTTGAGTAAGAGAGACAAACGCAGCTCTGTCGCAGACCGAAGTGCGCTTTGGAACTCACAGATGCAGGCGCTTTACAAGAACGTTGAGGGATCGCAAAAGTTTTTGCCCAACTCTTCCACTCGTCACGTCATCCAGAATGCTGGAGCTTGGATCGAGCTGGACAACGCAACCTACAAGTCTCGTCGCGCGATGCAGATTTTCCTCCTCAACGACCACCTGCTGATTGCTAGTCGCAAGAAGAGAAAGGCAGATGTGCCTCCTCGTGAGGCAACTGGCCCACTTGTGAAGCTCGTGGCCGATAGGTGTTGGCCCCTGCTAGACGTTGAAGTAGTGGACATGGCGGGTTCGAGTGATTCTTCGACCACTCGCAACAAGCTAGCAGATGCCATCATGGTCAGGGGTGTTGGTCAAGAGTCAGTCATTTACCGGACAGAGAAGCCTGAGGACACGGAGAAGAACGGTCTACTCCTGAACATCCGCAAGGCGGTGGAGAATCTGCGAAAGGAGCGACAATCAGAATTGGAGGCCAACAACAAAGCCAAGGAGACGATCAACTATTTCGCATCTCGAGACCCCGGTTTGCTCCAGAAGACGGAGCTGTTGGAGACACTCTCCGATATCAAGGACATGCTCATCGACGTGGACGGAAAGCAGCAAAACCTCCGGTGGGTTGAAAGCCAAATGGACGAGCTGGATATCGATATTGCACTGCAGAACTTTGAGCCTGCTGTAAGCCGTGTCGAGAAGCTCAAGAGCCTCGCTCGAAGCCTGAAGAACAACACGGTGGCGCAGGACTTCATCAGCTTCAAGGTTGAAGAGCGATGCTCCAAGCTGGCGGGCATGATCATTCGCGAACTGGAAACAACGCACAATGCGCCGACGAAGAACAAGCGCAACGTTACCTGGCTGGCCAGGCTAGGGTACGAGGACCGCGCTCGTGAGGCCTATCTGGTAGCCAGGCACGAGACCATCCAGAAGCGAATCAGGTAAGCAGGAATATCAACGGTTTCCGAACACAATCTGACCTTTGACAGACAAACGATATTCCAAGGAGACCTGCATCAATACATTTGGGAGGTCTCGTTCGTCTACTTTTCGCTCATCCGCAATACGGTGAGCTGCTTCCACTCATGCTTCCCACCGCCAATGATGAGTGCCTGTGTCAAGTGGGCCAAGGAAGAGGTTGAGTCGTTCAACGCCATCCTCGGAAGGCAACTCAGCAGCACAGAGCGGGGCGGGGAGGCGTGGAACCAGTGCATGGAACGAGCACAGGAGCATGCCAAGATGCTCAGCGAAGTGCAGCTCGACTTCCGCAACCTGGTTGGCAAAGATTTGGTAGACCACGCGTCCGGGGTGGCTAGTCCCGTCGGGCTCGGTTTGTCCTAAGTACCTAATTTGACAATAAGCGCCCTGGTCGAAGTGACGGCAAAGCGTGCCGTTGAGCCTGGTGATGGCTGGCATTGCCTTGATTTATGGCGATTGCCTCGCACTGGAAATTGAGACGGGTGTTTGTTTATGGAGGAAGCATGTAAATGAGTGCAAGACATTGGAGTTACGGACTATGACGAAGATGCCGCAATCACTGGCATGTGTCAAGGTTCCAGACCACGCTTGGGGCTGACTCGGATCCCCTGGCTCGGGTCGCTGTGTTTACCTGCGACGGCGTTTGCGACTTTCGGGATGGATAACTTGTAAAAGTGAATTGAACCGTCAAGGATCGCAAGGTTGGCAAGTATTCGCATTACAATTTAAGCAATAATCGACCATTGGTATATACTGTGTGTGATTATCGCATGAGGCCTCTCGCGGAGGCTCAAGAAAAATAGCCGTCAAATGGCTTGAGGCTTACTTGCCTCTGCATCGGATTTAAGCGAAGAGGCAGGCAATTTCCTCATGCTGCAACCAGCAGCCGTGACAGCGCAGCGCAGCACGACACAGTATTCGTAGGTAAGGTACACCTACGCGCAACCACCTAGGTAAGGTACATCCGATGCTGCGTACCCCCCAATCACAGATCCCAAGCCCACGCACCAGCATCCGTACCGTACCCGCTCCCGCCTGCCTTCCTCGTCTGCACCTGCACCAGCACGAGCACAAGCAGGAGCAGCACCACTTCCATTCCCAGCCCGTCTCCCACCTCGCAAAAATCCCCAGGCGCCGCCCAACCCAACATCGACGCCCTCCTCATCAAACTCCCATCAGAGAATTAGAATCCCGCTCCCGCCCCGCTCTGCGCGACAACATCCCCCGTCCCTCCTCCCCTGCGCCGAACTCCATTTTGGCCCTCCCTATCTGGCCTCAGACGAAGCTCTGACCGCCTTCGACGATTCGCCGCCGCCAGCCCCACGCTACTGGATTGAGGTGCTGTGCTAATCTGAAAGACCGCGACCTGTTGCTGAAAACAACGTCATTCTCCCTTCGACACGAACGACCACGACCCGACCGCCCTCGCTTTGCCCGCCATTCTGCTTCTCGCGACCGATCAAAACAATTTAGTGACGACTCTTGCTATACCTTAGACGAATTTCAGCATGGATACGAACATGGAGGATGTTGGGCGTGTCCCCGCCGATCTGCCCTCTACCCAGAACCTCGAGCCCACCACGATCCCGACCCTAGATGGCTGGATTGAGAGCCTCATGAACTGCAAGCAGCTCGTCGAGGCCGACGTTCAGAGGCTTTGCGAGAAGGTCAGTCGCTATTCTCGCTGATGATGGACAGCCGCAATGCGCCTCTGCACCAGCTGTCGTCATAGCTGCCTGCGACTGAGCCTTTGTGCCCTCCCCTCATCTCCGAATCGCCCCTCGCGTGACCTCGCAGCGACAAATTTCTGACATTCATCAACAGGCGCGGGAAGTCTTGCAGGACGAGTCCAACGTGCAACCAGTTGTACGTCCTCCTCGCCCCCTTGGACAAGTGCGATTCGAACTGACCCATCCTCCTCCAGAAATGCCCAGTCACAGTGTGCGGTGATATCCACGGCCAATTTCACGATCTTATGGAGTTGTTCAAGATTGGCGGTCCTAACCCCGACACCAACTACCTTTTCATGGGTGCGTTGGGCCTGACAAGACGCTCGTCGTGCCGCGAGCAGTTGCTTACGCTATTCGATAGGTGACTACGTCGACCGAGGCTACTACTCTGTCGAGACCGTGACTCTGCTCGTCGCCCTCAAGATCCGATACCCTCAGCGCATCACCATCCTCCGTGGCAACCACGAGTCCCGCCAGATCACCCAAGTCTACGGCTTCTACGACGAGTGCCTTCGGAAATACGGCAATGCCAATGTGTGGAAGTACTTTACCGACCTCTTCGACTACCTCCCCCTTACTGCCCTCATCGACAACCAAATCTTCTGCCTTCACGGTGGTCTGTCGCCCAGTATCGACACCCTGGACAACATCAGAGCTCTTGACAGAATTCAGGAGGTTCCCCACGAGGGTCCCATGTGCGACTT